AACAGGGAAAGTGAGTTCAAAAGACCAGTGGGGGTGGGGGTGGGGGTGGAGGTGGGGACACGGGCGGGGCGCAGGGAGGGCTGAGGGGGGGGGTCGACGGGGGAGGGGAAGGGAGAGAAACAGGAATGTAATTGCTTGCTGCTGGTCTCCCTTCTCCCTCCCCCCTCGCCCCCCCCTCGGTGAAGAGGACAACAAACGAGGGGCTGTGACAAACTGTTTCGTTGGAGCTTCACCGACGGACTCATCAGGAGGCTGAACCCTCAACATCTGCAGAATCCCCTAACTGATTRCACTGTAAGTGATAATCCACCTTAACCCCGGCTGTGGTTAGTATCAACGACTGCCCGACAACTGATGCCCTGAGGTGGGCACCAATCACTGCCCTCAAGGTACCTCTGACGAAAATCAAAGCAGACTATCACTCACCCACACCAGATGGAAAACTCTACAGACTGTCGGTTCACACCTCATCACAAGCAACAAAATATATATAATATATAACCACAGCCGATGTTAAGGTGGATTATCACTTGCAGTGTAATCAGTTAGGGGATTCTGCAGACGCTATCTGAGGGTTCAGCCTCCTGATGAGTCAGTCGGTGAAACTCCGACCAAACAGTTTGTCACAGCCCCTCATTTGTTGTCCTCTTCTCCCTCCCTCTCTGCCCCTACGCTTTACTGGGCAGATCTGTTTGACGATCTACATAGTTCATAGTTATGTGACAACATATATACAGCCCCTTGTTTGTTGTCCTCTTCTCTCTCTCTGCCTACGGTTTACCGGGCAGTTCTGTTTGTGACGATATACATATATATATACAGCCTCCTGATGAGTCGGTGAAACTCCGACGAAACAGTTTGTTACAGCCCCTCGTTTGTTGTCCTCTTCTCTCTCTCTGCCTACGGTTTACCGGGCAGTTCTATTTGTGACGATATATATATGTGACAATATATATATATACTTCTCACTTTTGTTTTATATCATATCATAGACTGATAGAGCCTAAGGCGGCACGCCCTTCAATTGTTGTTTGTATGGTGTAGTCAAATAGTTGAAAAACAAAAACACAATTCTAAGCTAAGACATTGAGGCCGTTGGTCGGTTGCGTTATCTCATTGGAGTATAGCCAAGTGGAAAGGCATCGGTTTTTGATACCGACATGCAAAGGTTCGAATCCACCATTACTGATGGGGTAAGACTATGCCTTCACCATATTCACTACAGTCACCTGTAAGAACTTAGGTACGAGCCGTATGAATAGATAGATAGATAGGGGATAATCTTTCTACGCTGGCTCATGCATGTGTCAGTTGCTTGGTGACATCTTTTTATGTAGACACTGTTGGTCTATCGGTGTTAGGCTCTTGGCATTGCTGCTGGTTGCACACTTATGCTGATTGCACACTCATCGGGAGACGCAGTTTCACATTTACACCAAGCTCCCTCTTTGACAATGCTGCTGACTGTGAACAGCAAACAAAAAGGACGACGGCAGGAATCCCGACCTGAG